ATATACCTCTTGAACCGAAGGCAACTCTTTGCTTCCTAAGATCTGAACTCTCAAGGGTTCATAAGTAGGGTTCAGTCCCAACAAGAAAGCAAACACCCGCTACTAAGAAACCAGCTTCTTATAGGCCTTAGCATCATCATCATGTTTCCACTCTATAGCCTGATAGTGATGAAATTCTTTCCATACGGAAGTAAGGGCCGAATAATAGGCAGACAAACTACGATTTCCCTGTTTATAGGTTGAGGATTCAGCTTGCAACTGGTAAATTTTGGCATAATGCCTTTGCTCAGAATAGGTGGTTTTGGCCTGTTCCCAAATCTCACTAACGGTGTCTGCCCACATAAAATTCCTCTTCACCTTGGGTTCCATGGCTGCAAGGAGCCAAGACATCACCATACTGTTTTCTTGGTCTCACCTATCATGTTCAGTTGTCTCACATTTGGGTTCTTTCACTCTGCCATTTCTGTAACCAACTTTTCCCCTTGCTGTTATATAAAGTTTCACACTTTTAGCTCACTCCAGGTAGCTCAGGCCATTTAAAGGGGTAATTGGCATGGGAAACATCATGTTTTCACCCCCCATACCAGCTGTACTACGAGTTGGTGTAACTCCAGAAACTCCAGAAGATGCTGAATCATAATTTTCCATTGAGAAGAAAAAGAAAAGGGTCACAATATACCAGAAGATCCCACGCAAACAGAATGCTGAACTCCCAAGAATTTTCCGGAAAGAGAAAAAAGTACTGCTGAAACAGTCCAGCAATAGGTCGGCCCTTAGAATATAGCCCAGTAATCAGTCCAACAACTAGTCTACCAACAGGCTACTGAAAACAGTCCATTAACAGCAATAGTTCGGCCACAAGGAGTCATTAACAAGGCCTACCAACAGTTCAACAACATCACATGATAAAAAAAGGAAACACATACCCCTGTCCAGCATGGAGATGTAAACCTCAAAACCACGGCATTCACAGCTCTTCACAGCATAGACCAGAGATAAAAGGGGGCACATACCCCTGCCCAGCACTTGTACGAAGGTGCAAAAGATCAAGATAAAGAACCCAGAAAAAATTTTCACAGCATCGGAAAATCCAGACAATGCTTTCCACAGCAGCAAACTAAGAGAGGAGGGTCATTCCAGCATCGCCCCCCTTCTATTAAGGTTTCCTTGGTGTTACGACCAAGGAGGAACCCAAAGAACAGCAGCCGCAAGAACTTTGATCAATCTGATTAGAGTTCTTGGTCTTCCACGTCCAAGAGATCAAGAGAAAGAGAGGAAAAAAAGAGGACTGAGATTTTGATGTGAAAAAAATATTTCGAGCCCCAGAATTATTGCTCTGGTACCATGTGTTCGATTGAGAAGAGAAGAAGAGAGAGAGAGAGAGAAGAGAGGTTCGATTGAGAACCAAAGACTTAAGGGCTGCCCGGCTACCAGCTTCTTATTTATATTCTCTTAACATAATAAGGCCAGTAATTACAAGAATGCCCTTGGTGGCAAATCATAATAATGAACAAATAACAAAAAATAAAAAAGGAACTAGCTGACAGCTCCTAGGTTTACTAGGCTGACAGCATACTAACAGCAAACCAAAATAAGTTTCACAACATCTTTCACGTAAAATCAAAATCAAAGGGTATTTCTTCTAGGGAATATAATTAAGGGGTTAGCAAACATAGTGCATACTTATACACCCTGAATAGGGAAACCCTAATTCTACTCAAGTTCTTTTTTTTTGTGAATGATGATCAAAACACACCGCTTAGTTTGATTGAGTGTAGAAAATCCTAGTACTAATTCCCCTTGGGAGCATTGTTATTTTATGTACCTTATATAGTGTATCATACTTGTATATACATCTGTTTTTTTCTTTGTAAGAGAAGGGCACAGTTCTCCTTTCTCATTTTGGTACCTCATTAATATAAAGTTATTCTTTGGCCGTGTACAACACTTAAAACACCATTCAACTGTCTTTGTCTTCTTCGAATTGCTTCTGACAATAGTGGGGAACTCAAAGCTAGTCATCTCTTGGATGAGCTGTAACAATTTAAGTGCTTGGGTCTATAGACAAACTCTAAGGAAGATTGTGATGTAGGACCAGCTCAATTCCAGTCCTATGAGAATGTTGAATGATCAACCTTTGATTAGAAATTTGTGACTGCTGATAACTGTAAAGGTTTCTTGAAGGAATAAGAAAGGAAACAGAGAGAGAATACCCAAAATCACTCATGTGGGGAATCACTCTAGGGTATGGGAATCACTAACTATAAATAGCATTAGCTCCAAAAAATTAAATAAACTTCATTTATCCTTGGTAAAACAGCCATACATATTTACAGACAGTAGTAGGCTCATAAGAATCCTAGTAGGACTAAAAAAAGAATTGCCATATTCCTATTTTATTTCAAAGAAGACTTAATAACTCTTAAACTACTTATTCAATGACTAAAACTTTAAACATGAACAAACTATACTAGACAAATCAAACCCTCATGCACATCTCTTGAAAAAGAAAAGAAGAAAAGAAAAGAAAAGAAAAGAGAAAGAAAAGAGAAAGAAAGAAAAAGAAAGGGAAAAAAGGAAAGAGAAAGGAAAGGAAGAAAGAAAGAAAGACAAAGATAAGAAAAAGAAAAGAGAAGGGAAGGGAAGGGAAAGGAAGAGAAGTGTTTCACTTCAATGCTGGCCTGAATGTAACTTACCAAACCTTTGAAATCCTTGTTATTTCAACCTGAATAATAAGAGTACTCCCATTTAGGGTGTCAATGGACAAGTTTGGGTTGAACACCGTCCAAATCAAAATCAGTTTGATGGATTGGACGGACCAATAAGACATATTCAATTGGATCAGTCCAGACTTAATGATCCAAAGTATTTATTTTTTCGGTTTGGACCTGGTCCATTCGTAGTGGATTTATATTGGATTGGGTAAGGCTTAACCAATATTCAGTCCATTAATAGAAAATAAGAATACAGGTGTCAATAGACTAGGTTTGGATTGGAACAAATTTAAACTAAAACCAATTTGAACATATTGGATGGCCCAGATATTGAATTGGACCGGTCCAAAATGGTCCTAAGTATTCATTGGTTTGGATTGGACCTGGTCCATTTGTAATGGATTCATATTGGACCACATCGGACTGGACCAAATCTGACCCAATTGACACCCCTACTTCCAGTTGACCTCTTCTGCTCAAAGATCCTTTCACTCCTCTCCTTCCTAGCATACCAGCCTAGTAGGGATGCAAATGAATCAGATTAGATTCAGTAAAGGGTATATCCGATCTGATTTGATAAGAAATCCAACTGATCCAAATCCAATAAGAACCCATTGGATTTTCAAGATTATGATTTGAATCCAAATCCAAATACAGTCATCTGATTTGAATCCAATTCCATTTGAATTGTAATAAAAATACTTGATCATACAACTTGATCATACATATAGATAATATATTATATAAATAATATAATAATATATAATATTTCATAACAAACGGATCTGATCAGGTCATGGTGGACCAGATTGGGGTATATTTGAATTCAATCCATTAACTAAATAGATCGACTTTTCCGATTTGATCCAATTTGTTAGGATCAAGGGAGGTAATCTGAATCCAGCACTCACCAGATCAAATTCGGATTCAAATTAGATCTGATCCAACTTATTTGCAGCCCTACAGCCTAGTGAAAAAGAGAGGAAATGATTTTTTCCCTTTCTTTATTTTGGTTGGATATAGGGGTCTTTTTATATTGCAGCATTTATGTAGTTTAGTAAGGGCAGGGTTGGTTCTTTTTGTGTGCTGTTTATTGCTTCTTTTCATCTAGTTTCAAGTTGCATACCTGTTATATATATATATATATATTTTTTTTTTGTTTTCCTTTAATGAAAGCATGCTACTATTCATTTAGATATTTCATCTCTGCTCATATTTACAAGCGTTTCAAATCAACGTAAATTCACGTTCCATGCAAGGATATGCAGTCTTCCAAAAAGCCCCTCATAAAGCATTCAATTAGTCAACCTTGCAAAAAAAATTGCTTATATTGATTTTTAATCTCTACATAGCTTCAACTGTGTGCTTATGTAGAGTATACACTTAATATGTGTCATTTATTCTTGCCTTAATTGAAGCCCATAAAAAAAATGTCACTATCTAACAGAAATGAAGATATTTATTGGACCATATCCCACATCAAAGCCTTCATGAAGCACCTGAATTGGACTTGGAGGTTAGTTTGGTAACACAAAGAAGAGTGGAGAAAGGGTTTCTCCTGTTGTTGACTTCTTAAACTTCTAAAAGGTCAGTAAGTTTCACTAATTAAGATGAAGTTGGGATGGTATGTCTTGATACAGTAGTGTCGTTCTCTCAAAATTCCTCACAATTAAACTATATCCAATAGATATGGAACGAGCCTTTTTCATATCATGGGTCGTTAAACTGCCCGGCCTGTTCTGAGTTTGATAGTCAATAAGCTTATTTTCTGTGAGCAGCATCTAGAATCTGTCTTGAAGTTGAAGATAGCTCCCCTGAACCTTTTTTTTTTTTCATTTTTGAGGTAAGTAACTTTTCTGTTAGTTTATAAATATTTCCAACCCGACTGATAGATTGTAGTCTTATTTGTGCAATCATAATAATAGTATATATGCCTTTTCTTTTAATTAATTTTGTTTTTACTATAAAAATGGTAGCATTTATGTGTTTTTTCTGAGGATGTGGTACTGAGTAGAGTGGAATGACAGAACAGGATTCATCCACCAGCTGATGAATATAGTTGTGACAGGGCTCTTCAGAATTAAGAACTAGAAAGCATATTACTTGAATTTCTGTCAGCACCTGTGTTACATCTTCTCAGATAATGCCTGTATAGATCTTTAAATATGCATTACAAGGCCATTTCAAACTGGCACGTTCTACCTGTCCATTCACTGGAATTTGATTTTTCACTCCTGAATGGGTTCTCCGCTTTCTAATCAGGTAGTTGTTTTCTTATTTTTGCAGATGCTGCTATTCAGCAGGCAAATTGGGATGTTTCAAAAGTCAGGGAAAAGTTTTGTCGAGACATTGAAGCACACGTTGAATCTATTCGTAATGCAAAGCTGTCGGAAATGATAACTAAGTATGAGGTAATGTATTTATAACATTGTTGTTCAATAATGCTCCACTGTAATATTATAATTTGTTTGTTGGTCTCTTTTGTACAAATATGAGGATCTTTCTGTCAGCTAGTGACACTAATTGGAAATACATTTGACATGCAGAAGCAACTCACTGAAACACTTACTGAACCTGTCGAATCCTTATTTGAAGCTGCTGGAAAGGACACTTGGACACTGATAAGAAGACTTGTTGGACGTGAGACTGAAGCTGCTATATCAGAATTTTCAACGGTCCTTACTGGTTTTGAGTTCGATCAAGCAGAATTTGATAAACTGGTACAGAATCTGCGTGTCTTTGCAAGAAGTATCGTGGAGAAAAAAGCAAAAGAAGAAGCTGGAAAAGTCTTGATTCGCATGAAGGATAGGTTGCCATTTGGGTTCTTTCATTTAGTACTTCATAAGCTTAATTATCCTTCCTTTCTAATCACCTTCATATTATCTTCAGGTTCTTAACAATCTTCAGTCATGATAAGGATTCAATGCCAAGAGTTTGGACTGGAAAAGAAGATATTCGGGCAATTACAAAAGAAGCCCGTGCTTCGGTAATTTGTATTTCAAGGATATTGTACCAAAAATATGTTTGAAAGGATTTCACCTAGTATCTAATATCTGAATTCTCTTTTTTTCTTGAGAAACATTGCACTAAGATTCTTTCATCATGTTGCAGGCGCTGAAGCTTTTATCAGTTATGGCAGCCATTCGCTTGGAGGACAAACCAGATAAGATTGAAAATGTTATTTTTTCTTGTCTTAAGGATTCAACTGTTGGTTTTCCTGTATCCAATGATAGGAGCATGGGAACTTCTGTGGATCCACTTGCTTCAAGCACATGGGAAGAGGTATCAGTTACTCAGTTAGTGTCTTTCAGTGGTTAAACTTAATTTGTGTCATATTTTGCTCATAATTAATGTGCATGTGGATCAGGTTCCTCCAAATAGAACACTGATTACTCCAGTGCAATGTAAGTCCTTGTGGAGACAGTTCACAGTAGAGACTGAGTATACTGTTACTCAAGCCATCTCTGCACAGGTAAGCTATTTCTTAATATATGTTCTCCAAAATTTTTCTTTTCTTTATATTTGCATTTTTTAATCAACTTGGAATACAGCTGTAGCAGTCATAGGTTTAGTTCAAAAACTGTTCAAGAGAAGAAGAAGAAAAGAAGAAATGAAAGAAAGAGAGTGCAGAGTCAAATGAGTTCTGCCGCCCCCCTCATTGGCTTTTATATGACTTAACAAAAGATGGTACAGTGACAAAAATACCCCTGTTGACTGTGACAGAGAGAAAAAACACAAAACAGTAGCTTGAAACAATGTTAAATAAAGATGGGGAAACAACTAAGTGTGCTGGTCAACATCTTTACACTCCCCCTCAAGATGGGAATAGATATTGAGAATTCCCAACTTGCATAAATTCATCTCCATCCTGACTTTAGTAATTGCCTTGGTAAAGTGATCAGCAAGCTGCATATCAGAGGCAATGTATGGAAAGCACACTTCTTGAGAGGCAACTCTCTCCCTTATAAAGTGTCGATTCGCCTTAATGTGTTTCGTCCTGTCATGCTGTATTGGGTTATGGGCAGCATTAGTAGCAGCTTGATTGTCACCAGTGTTTTAAAAGGCATGGGAGGCTTACACCTAGAGGCGCGCCTCCAGGCGAGGCGCTCCCAAAACGCCCTGAGGTGTATGCTAGGGGCACTAACACCTCTGAGGCGTATGCCTCAGGTGCAAGAGGCTTATGCCCTGGACATCTCTTGAGGTATGCTAGGATCTTCTTTTCTTTCCTTTTCTCTTTATTTCTTCTCTTTCTTTTTTTTTACTCTCCCTTTCTTTTCCTTTCCTTTTTTTTCCTTTTTCTAACCCTTCCCTGAGGCATATTCCACGACCTGGACATCTCTTGAGGTATGCTAGGATCTTCTCAACAACCAACAAATGAGTGGCTCTTGGAGAATGCATGTACTGACTAACAACACTGATAGAATCAGAAATGTCAGACCGAGTTAGACAAAGATACAAAAGTTTCCCAACTAGCCGTTGATACATGGTCTTGTCATCAAGAGGTTTAACTTCTGCACTGATCTTATGATTTAGAAGAAAAACAGTCCTTGAGAGTGTGGGACTGTTAGAATAGATGCAGAAATCAAAAGAAATCGAAAAACAGCAGAAAATACTTATTCTATGGAGTAGAAGGTGAAGAAGGAGATGGTGGCAATAAGGGTTTAGAGTATGAGAGTTTCAAACCTTACTCTCTCTCTAACACCCTAACACTATTTTATTAAGTTAAATTTGAATAATTACGAGGAGACCCTTAGTTGGGCAAGAAATTACAAAGAACATAACATAGAAAGGATGGGCCCAGAATAAGGCCCATTACAGAAAGGAACATAAACAGTAAGAAAGGATAAACAGCCTGTGGGCCATTCGGCCCATCTTCTCTACACTCCCCCTCAAGCTGAGCATAAATGTCAATCATGCCAAGCTTGCCAGGATCATGCTGAAGTTTTGCCTTGGGAATGCCCTTGGTGAGAAAATCTGCTAACTGTCCTTCAAATGTGATGAAAGGAAGACATACTTCACCCGAAGAGACCCTTTCTCGAATAAAGTGTCTATCGACTTCAATATGCTTAGTTCTATCATGTTGCACTGGGTTGTGAGCAATGTTGATGGCGCCTGATTATCACAGTACAACATCATTGGCTTGTCATGCTCAACCCCTAGTTCCTCCAATGATTTTAGCCACAATAGTTCAGAAACTCCATGTGCCATGGCCCTGTATTCTGCTTCTGTTGAATATCGAGCAACAACCGATTGTTTCTTGCTTCTCCAAGAAACAACATTACCAGCCACCAAGCTGCAATACCTAGAAGCAATAACTCGCAGCACTGAATCCAAAGATGTTTCGGCAGTTTGACAATCCAGAAAATGAATGAAAACAACCTAGAAATCTCCTGGTTAAACCAGATTAAAAACAGCCGAATAGCTGTACAGTTTTCAAAGAAACTTTGGACACTTCAACAGTCCAAAAACAGAAAAGTAACCCAGAAATAATTGAGCACAACTTACAATCTCTGATTTAAGCTCCAAATCAGAAACCGAACTGTTCTTTTTCTCTGATTCTTCCTAGTCACCGAACCACTCTCCAAGAGATTTGAGTCTTGGGCACCCTCCAATGACCTCCAAGAATCAGGCGACACAAGTTGAAGCTTCCAGCCCTAGAACACTCTCATGTAATCGGCTGGACTACACCCACATGAGAGCCCAAGCCAAGTTCAGGCCTGCTCTGATACCAAGAAGAAAAACAGTCCTTGAGAGTGTGGAACTGTTAGAATAGATGCAGAAATCAAAAGAAATCGAAAAACAATAGAAAATACTTCTTCTATGGAGTAGAAGGTGAAGGAGATTGTGGCAATAAGGGTTTAGAGTATGAAAGTTTCGAACCTTACTCTCTCTTTAACACCCTAACACTATTTTATTAAGTTAAATTTGAATAATTACAAGGAGACCCTTAGTTGGGCAAGAAATTACAAAGAACATAACATAAAAAGGATGGGCCCAGAATAAGGCCCATTACAGAAAGGAACATAAACAGTAAGAAAGGATAAACAGCCTATGGGCCATTCGGCCCATCTTCTCTACAGATTCAATTCAATGGGAGTATCTATAGGTTTAACTCCCAATTTTCCTGTTTCCTCCAAGAGGTCAAGGACATATTTCCTCTGAGAAATGAAAATACCATGTTTAGATCTATCCACCTCAATTCCTAGAAAGTATTGGAGATGGCCCAAATCTTTCACCTCAAACTCTTTTGTGAAGTAATTGTTTAAGGGAATTAATCTCATCAACATCATTGCCTGTTACCACAATATCATCTACATATATAGCGAGGAGTGTCAAGGAGGGACCACCCCTCTTGATGAAAGTGTGTGGTTTAAGTGAGCCTGCATATACCCAAATTTTCCAAAGCCAATCTAAACCTATCAAACCAAGCCCTTGGAGATTGCTTTAAACCATACAATGCCTTCTTGAATTTGCAAACCTTCTTGCCTGCATCTGTATTTACAAAAACTAGGAGGCAACTCCATATACACTTCCTCCTACAAATCACCATTGAGGAAAGCGTTATTGACATCCATTTGGAACATGGGCCAAGAACATTTGCAGCCAAAGATAACAGAACAAAGATAGTATTCATCTTAGCAACTGGTGCAAAAGTGTCAGAATAATCAATGCCATAGGTATGTGTGTAACCCTTTGCAACGAGATGAGCCTTATATCTTTCAATTGATCCATCTACATTATGCTTCACAATGAAAACCCATATGCACCCAACTAGTTTCTTTCCTTTAGGTTGATCCACCAACTCCCATGCCTCATTTTTAGTGAGTGCATTCATCTCCTTCATCGCATCCTTTCACTCAGGCACAATGAGAGCTTCCTACACAGTTTTAGGGATGGATATAGCAGAAATCGATGCCAAATAGGTTTATAGGATGGGGAAAGGTGGTTGTATGAGAGAAACTGAGATATGCAATGAGTAGTGGATGTGGTACATCTCTGTTTCCCTTTACGAACTGCAATGGGAAGGTCAAGATCATTCGTAGAAGGCAATGGCTCCATGATGGTAGTCTTAGGAGTGGAAGGTGAAGCTGTAGTATCTAGATCAGGTGCCGCAGAGGAAACTGGAACTAGCCTAAGCTGATCATTAGCACCAAAATCAACTCGTCTCCACCTCCTATGAAAAACCTTCAACTCCTTACATTTCTGACAATGATCCTCCTGACACAATTCCTTTTCAAGAACAGGGGTAGGAAGGGGAACTTCAAGAACAGACACATCCCCTCTATTCTCTCTCCCCTTGAGATGAAACTCCTGGATAATAAGGAACATCCCGAAAAAAGGTAACGTCCATAGACACAAATCAAGAGCCAGAAATTGGGTCATAACAGCAATATCCCTTTTGATTTTGTGCATAACGGAGAAAAATGCATGTGGAAGCTTTATGATCAAATTTAAAATGATTAGGCCTCAAAATCTGAACAAAACATGTGCACCCAAAGACCTTAAGAAGAATAGTAAACAAGTCTTTCTCTTGATACAATAAGGTGAAAAGAGCTTTCATACCCAGGACACGAGAAGGAACTCGGTTAATAAGATACATAGCCGTGTGAATTGCATCCCCCCTCCCCAAAATGTATAGAGATATTTGAATTTAGCATAATGCTTCTTGCAACCTCAAGGATGTGTCTGTTCTTTTTCTCAGCTACCTTATTCTGTTGAGGGGTATATGAGGACAGGTGCTCTAGTGAATAGCCTCATATTCAAGGAAGTATGAGTTCAATGGTTTAGTGAAGTACTCCTTAGCATTATTAGATCTAAAAGCTTTGATTCTAACCCCAAATTGAGTGAGAACCATTTGGTGAAAGGCACATGTTAAAATAGGGACCTCATCACGGGAACGCATAAGATAAACCCAAGAGAAACGAGAATAATCACCAACAAATAACAAGAATACTTGTATCCTCCCATAGCAGTGATATGATATGGTCCCTGTTAGAATGTTAGAATGAAGTCTCTTTGTATGAGTGTTCAGCTGATAAGAGTCTTATTAGCCCATACTTAAGTTAAATTATCCTGTAATTGGGCCTGGGTTAATGGGCCTAAGCCTGTTTAATGTTTTTAAGTTAACTGGGTGTCCGATCACTAATCAGGGGCATTCCAGTAAATTCTTGTACCATTGTACTTCATTCAAATATAAATCATTGCTGGTCGACTGAGCAGTACAGTTCGACATTTTCCAGCATACCAGTGGTTTTCTTCTTCACTTCTCTACTTTSAATACAGCATTCAGCACACATGGTATCAGAGCTGATTTGAACCTAGGGTTTCAGCCGGCACACCAGCTTCTACTCTCTCTTCTTTTGCTGCTCTTTTCTCATTTCTTCTTCTTCTCTGGGTTGCTGAAAAAAAACAGGGTTGTAAGAGAACAAGGTAGATTCGAACCTAGGGTTTCCCTTGGTTGTAGGGCTCAAG